GAATGATTTATGCACCTGTAGAATGGGTGCTCTCTATATAATAAACTGTATGAAACTGGGTGTATCCTGCTGGAAACTTCTAATTTGGTTTTATCCTCTTAGGAGAGCAACATAGAAATTCTGCTTACCAGATGAGTATGGAGTGTACTCTAAGACAGCATGATGAGATTATATACCTTGTAAAGATGGAAGAGAGTAATATGGAAAATATGTCCACAGGTTACGCCTGTGGGTGTTAATCCTAACTGTTCAACAATATGGTCCTGGTTAGGAATTTTAAGATACACTTTAAACTGTGGGAATAAAAACCTAGTAGGTGTTTAATTTTGTATTTAAATTAAAGTCAATTAAATTAACTAATTTGGAAGTATTTTAACTGATCTTTACATTGTGTCTAGTTTACTAGCTATCCTGCTGTTTATCTAATTTTGTTCTTTTTGGCCTTAAAGCCTTGAATTTTATTACCAATCCTATTGAATGCATAGTTACAAATAACAATTGATCAATATGATATTCTTTTGCTTTCTCTGCATAAAACTGAATTTTGCAAAGTTTGTTAATTTTGATTTATATGCTTAGGGTTTGTTATTTCATTTATACTGTTCTGAATTTTTCAAAGTATTTTATTAATAAAAGGAGCTGCCTATATGTATGATTGCCTTCCTAAGAGAATTGAGAAAAAAATTAGAGAAAACAGTGGAACACCTGGAGAGGATGTTTAGACTCTTTGATCGATGAGTATTCTGGAGAAAAATAACAAATGTTCAGCATTTTCTCTTGCAAGAAAGAAATTATCATTACGAGGCTGTGTAGGAGCAAGAACAGATGTTCATGCAGCTTTTAAAGCTCTCTATTCTCCATTATACAGATGGACCCTGAAGGTGAGGCAATGATATTTCAGTGTGCTTGATTTTGTGCCTGCCCGGTTGGGATGGCAACTGTGAATTTTTAGACCGTCCTTCCCAAGACAAATGTTTAGGCACACAAGCCCTGAAACTTTACTTTGTTCAGAGCACACCCACGGCAGGATGACTACTGCAATATAGCACGTGTGTCTGGAAAGGAACCACAGGCTCTCCTTTTCACATTTAAGTTGAAGAGAGTTTACCGGAAGCAAGATCCAGCCTACAGAGCCAGAAGACGAAAATCTCAATTTTTCCTTTGATAAGACGACTATTATTGTGAAAGAACTCCATGCAAGACTTCTCCCCTTCCATTATGTCACAGCAACCCAACAGTCTTCTAACTTGGGAGAGATATATGTTATCACAAGAAAACAAAATTGCAGACAAATTAGTTGCAATATTTTGCTAATTATACTCCTAAAACCATAAGAGTGCAAACAAAAACTGTGTGAAGGCTTTATTCCACCTACTAGATGTGATGTGCTTAGTGATCCAGAGCAGTTCCACTGAAGTCAATGGAATTGTGGTACCATAAAACAAAAAATAAAGCTTCTCCACGCCCCCCCCTCCCCGCCCTCCCCAATCCATAGCACCATATTTTTGTCATGGAAAGAAAGAAAGAAGGAAAATGAGATTGTCTTTTCACATTAAATAGAAAGAACTTGCTGTACGCAGGGGAAAGAATAGAGGGCCAAATCAAACTAAATTGCACACAACGAAATCAGACAAATCATCATAAACGGCTTCAGCTCTATTGCTAACACATTGCCCGAGACACGCGTTCACTATGGGAACATTTTGCTGATGAGTTCGCAGTCTCATGCTTGGTTTCAGGACGTTTCTGCTGTGTTTGATCAGATTTTGCTATCTTTTTTTAGTCAAACCACATTTGTTATTAAATATGGCACTCCTACTATTATTTGAGATATGGAACTTGCAGATGAAAGGGACCTGTTGCAGTTTAGCTGGTTCAGTATTTCAAAATTTCAACCTTGCAGATTTACACTGTACATTTTCCTGGATGAAAGTTGGATAGCATATTTTGGTTAAAGGAGGAAGGCTGCTCCATTTTAGCGGAATTAGTAATGACTTTGGAACTGTTGTTTATCAATAACACAGTCACATTAGGGCTTTTTTTTTTTTTTGTAATATTCCATGTGGTTTATTAATGAAACAAACTTGGAAACTGTTAGTCTTCTCAAAAAAATGATAACACACAGATGTGCAAACCCACATTCATGTGTAGCTTTATTGGTGCGTTACAACATTACATTTCCTTCACATTGAGAAAGCATGAGATTAAAATACATTGATCCACAAAAATGC